TTTTGTAATATGCTTTCTATATCCTTTTAAATTCTGTAAAATCTGTGGTAATGTCCTCTAAATCTTGATATTATAATTTTTTTAAAATGTATAATTGATACTGTGTAATAGGAAGAAAAGTTCTAAAGGAGTAGGGGAAGTGGGAGGGGTGGGGAAAGGAAAGAAGGGAAAAGGAAAAAATATGAGAAAAGGAAAAAAATGGAAACAGTCTTTGTAAGTAGGGAAGGGAGGAGGGGGTGAAGGGAGGGCAGGGGAAGGGGAAAAAATAAAGAGCCAAGATATGTCATGTAAAGGTACAAGATTCCAATGATGAAGGTAACTGTATTTTATACCTAAAATGTATCAATAAACTTAATGGGAAAAAAATATTAAAACTTAAATAAGTCTCACAAATACAGCATAGTATTTAGTGAAAGATGAAGAATACATATTGTATGATTCCATTTCTGTGAGGTTCACAAACTATGTTTTCAGGGTACTTAGGTAAACAAGGAAATGATGATCACAAAGGACAGGGTAGTCTTTTTCCCCTCAAGGGGAGACATAAGGGTTTGGTACAGAGCCTGAGAAGGGCTTCGAGAATAATGGCAATGCTGTATTTTTGGAACTCAGTGGTGTTATTCGTGCTTCATATACTTCTCTCAATGCCCGTTACATCATAACTGTTATAGAGGTAAAGAGATTCAGGAGAAACACAGATTCTGCAGCTCACATGAGAGGCTAGACACAGGATTTGAGAGTTTCTGGCGAACAGGGGACTGTGGAGGGGACTGAAGCTTTACATGAAAATAAAAAATGGCACGAGAAGATGAGTGAGCCAAGCACAAAAGTTCTGTAAACACAACACTAAAGAGAGAGCAAAAGAAGTTACTGAAGGACCAAAGAGAAGCCAATTAAGAGGGTACAAGAAACATGGAGGAGGAAAACTGGAAACACGCTGAGGGAAGACAAGGCAGCGTATCACAGCAGTAAGTCAAGAGGGGCAACAAAGGCACAGGGAGGAAGCCAGGTGACAGCAGGAGAGGGCACTGCACTTGGCGAGGAAGAGCTCACTCACAAACCTGAAGCAAAAGTATACGTCAAAGAGGAAAATGTCTTACCTCAAGGAGAAAGTCAATTTTTTCTTTATTAGGTCTAAGAAATAACAGCTGGTTAAACTGAACACTAATTGTTCTGCCTTCCAGTATATCACGGACTGTGTTGCAGGCACAGATTTTAAAACAGATTTCATCTAGAGCTTCATTTCTGTAGAAGGGAAAATGGATTCACCAATGTTATTTTTATTATAAAAGAAAGGTATATATTTTAAAACTAAATTCTCAAGAATGAACCACTTAACCCTGAGAGGTAAGATTTTAGGATATTCAAGCATACTGGTAAAATATACTACCAGGTTGGGAGAAAAGAGAGACACCATGTTTTAAATTTATCAAGAAACAATTCAGTTACAGATTAGGCAACAGAACGGAATTGTCCTGTGTATGACTACCCACCTCAAACATTTATGTGGGGGTGGGGGGTACGGTCTCACACATGCTAGGCAAGTGCTCTACCACTGAGCTGCATCTCCAGCCCTGTTTTAATTTGAAACAGGGTCTTGCTAAATTGCCCAGGCTGACCTCAAACTTGGTATCCTCTGGCCTCAGCCTCCTGAATAGGTGGGCTGACAGGCACACACCATCAGGCCTGGCTACTGCCCACCACAAGCACTTTTAAAATAGACTGGAAAAACCAACTTACATTGTCTCCTCTGGCTATGTTAATTTCTCTTATATTAACAAAAAAGGACACTGTGTTCCCTCTTACAGGATGGCCCGCTGTCATGCTGCAGGCCACACTTCTTTTCCTACTTTTACCTGGCCCAAACTTGCTCTACAGAGCCTGTTTCTTTGGCTACCTTTAAGAAAACTTTGCTACCGTTAAAAAGGGGGTGGGGGGGGACACAAAAGTGAAAGAGGGTCAGAGATGTAGCTCAGTGGTTCCGCCGCCTGCCTCAAAAGCACAAGGTCCCGAGTTTGATCCCCCCAATCCCCCAAAAAAGTGAAAGTAACATTAGAGAGCTACTGATAATTTGGAAGTATGGGTACTCTCTTTCTCTTACCAGCCCTCTTCCTTCCTTCTTCTCCCAGTACTAGGGATTGAACCCAGGAGCTCTGTACCGAGCTCCATTCCCAGTCAGTTTCTGTTGTTTTGTTTTGGGTCTCACTAGGTTGCTAGGTTACCCAGGCTGGGCTCCAACTTGCAATCCTCCTACTTCAGTTACCCAGAGCGCTAGGATCACACGTGTGTGAAAACATGCAGCAGGGGACTATGTTTTTAAGAAACAAGAAAGCATTTGCTCTTTTTTTTTGAGACAAGGTCTTGCTTTGTAGTTCAAGCTGGCCTTGAACAAACTATGTAGTCCAGGCTGCCCTCAAACTCACAGCAATCCTCCTGCCTCAGCCTCCCAAGGGTTGGGATTACAGGTGTGCACCACTATGCCCAGCCAGCACTTGCTCTTTTATTCATATATCAAAAAAGTAATTTTTCAACTAACTTACCCCTGCTGAGCTTTCTGAAAGAGTTCTCTTAGCACTGACTGCCGGAACTGGACAGGTAAACTGAAGGTTAAGTTATCTTCAATGAAAATCTGTATTACCTCCTAGAATACATACATAAAATTGTATCCATTTAAAAATCATGGCTGTTTCTTTATTTTTAAAAAGTCCTTCTATAATGGAAAATACAAGTGGAAGAAAAACATAAAAGTATCTTAATGGGAAAACATTTCTTTCTAAAATTAGCCTAAGAAGGCAGGTATGGTGGGTGGCACGTGCCTATGATCCTACCATTTGGAAGGCTGTGGCAGAAGGATTACAAGTTTGAGTTCAGTTTAGGCAACTTAGTGAGACCCTATCTTAAAATAAATTGTAAAAAAAAGGCTGGGGATGTAGCTCAGTGCAAAAGGCCTGGGTTCAATCCCCAGTATGGGGTAAGGGGAGGAGTGTATTATAAAAGGAACAAAAATAACCCTTCCTTTTTAAAAAAAATTGAAGACCATGAACCAAAAGTTAGAAGTGATGGAGAAATTATCAAAAGGGCCCATGTAGCCTCTTAAAAACAAAACAAACCTTTAATAGCTTGGTTCATAAAACAACTTCGAAAAAATACTAAGATAATTAAAAACATATTCTAAGAAACAATTCAAACACATTTATCTTTTTTTTTTTTGGAGACAGGGTCCCACTATGGAGCCCAGGCTGGCCTCAAACTTGCTGCGATCCTCCTGCCTCAGCCTCCCAAATGTGAGCTCACAGGTGTGCACCACCATGTCCAGCAATTCTAATAAATTTAAAAGACTTTAAATGTATTATTAAGAAATAAAAATATAAGGGGCCGGAGATTCAGCTCAGTGACACTGAGCCTGCCTTGCAAGCACAAGGTCCTAACATTGATCCCTGGCACTACCACAAAAAAATAAAATAAAAAAGTATTATTTAGTGAATTACAAAAAGTACCCAAATTATTACATACAGACTTTTTCTTAGCCCTTTCTCAGGCAATGGAAAAGAGAGGAAGAAAGAAGGGGTGATAGTGGGGAAATGAAGAGAATTTCTGGAAACAAAGACAATCAGCTGCTATCACAAATGTACAGATAACGGGCCTGGGATGTAGCTCAATAGCAGAAAGTTTGCCTGGCATTCATGAGGCTCTGGGCTCAATCCGAAGCACCACAAAGAAAAACAAAGTACTGAGCCAGGCATGGTGGTGCACACCTGTAATCCCAGTACTCAGGAAGCAGAGGCAGGAGAACTGCTGTGAGTTCAAGGCCAGACTGGGCTACATAGTGAGTTAAGGGTCAGCCTGTACTATAATAAGCGAGAACCTGTGTCAAAAAAACAAAAAAAAGAAAGAGAGAGAGACAGAAGGAAGGAAGACTAAGTACTGACAAAAGTAAGTTTCAAAACTATAGAACCAGGTGGGGACAGTGGCACATGCCTGTAATCCCAGTAACGTGGAAGGCTGAGGCAAGAGGGTTGCAAGTTCAACCCTTAAAAAAGGGCTAAGAGTGTAGCTCAGTGAGAGGGCCCTGTACCAAATACAGAACCACCACTCTTTCGCCTCCATAACACAGCAATGTAGAACTCCTCAGGAGCAGGCCAGCTACTTCCAAAATGTGAGAAGACACACTTTTACAGGAGTTCATCTCCTAATTTGACCAGCATAAAACTATACAGCTCATGCAAAGAGAACCCTATTCAAATACAGTGGTACCTCAGTTTACAAACTTCATTCTTTCTACAATTCTGGTCGCATCATGAAAAGAATGAAGTTTATGAACCGAGGTTCCACTACAGAAGGCTAAATACGATTTCTGATCTGCATAGGTAACTGCAGTGGTTAAGTTTCAGAGTTGCAACACAATTGCTATCTTCCCTTAGCGCCCCATAGTACTATCTTCTGATTTGCATAGTTTGATACTTTGTTACACTCACAGTCAACACTACAAAATTCACAGTGACACATGCCTTTCTAGGGTCAATACTCTTAAGGCCTTACCACTCCAGGGAGCTTCTTTAAGAACCTGTATCTTTTCACAAGGGACCCTCACCCCCCTGCAACAGGGAAACGTAACAGATCACTGGACTTTAATTCACCTGCATCTATAACTCATCTTTAGAAAATTTAATTCTCTTCCCTATGGCAAAGCAATACACAAAAAAGGGGAGGGGGACAGCCCTCCTATATGTTCGAGGCTGGCCTCAAACTCACAGCAATCCTCCTGCCTCAGCCTCTCAAGTGCTGGGATTACACACAGGCACCACCAAGCCAGACTTTTTCTTTTCTTTTTTTTTGGTACTGGGGATCGAACTCAGGGCCTTCCACTTGCCAGGGAGGCGAGGCACCACTGAGCTACACCCTGGCCCAGTTTCCCCTCTATCTATTTTCTGCAAAAACAAATTCTAGATGATTTAAAATTGAGATAAAAGTCCAATTAGAGACAGAAAACTGAAAGTTACAGCTTTGTCATTTCACGATTCCTGTCTTGAATTAAATAACACAAAGGTCCTGTTTACTCTCTACAGTAAAAGATTTCCAATAAAGATTTTAAAAGTAATAGGAAAGAGGGCCAGGGATTTAGCTCAGTGGCACCGTGCCTGTCTTGCAAGTGCAAGGTCCTGAGTTCGATCCCCAGTACTGAAAAAAAAAAAAAAATGTAATAGGAAAGAAAATGTTCAAATGAGAAGGGAAACAAAGGAAGGGGGAGGGGAAAGGAAAGAAGGGACAAGAGAAAATAGGAGGAAAAACTGGGAACAGCTTTTATACATAAAGGAGGGCAGGGAATGGGGGGAAAAAAAAGCAGCACCAAGATATATCATGTACTGGTACAAATTCCCTACGATGAATGTTATCATTATGTATATCTAAAATGTACTCAAAAATGTTTTGCTAAAAAACAAAAGTAATGGGAAACTCTAATTCCTGGCACCTTTCATTAAAAAGCTAAAGAGAAGCATACAGAGAAGGCGAGAGACATCTCAATACACTAACTACACCCTGAGATGGCGACTAGACTCATGGACAGCAGGCTCTGGAACAGACAAACCCAACCAACAAAACCACGGTGTCCACTGGCTCCTTCCATCTCAACACCTGCCGTGGTGAAGAAAGCTATGCTGTGAGGCCATACTTTCAAAACAGACACAAGACTTCAGGCTCCATAAACTAAAAGCTATCTAAGTCTAATTTCAAAAGTTAAAAATCATGCTTATAGGGCCAGGGATTTAGCTCAGTGGTTCCTCCGCCTGCCTGATAAGCACAAAGTCCCAATACCCAGTACCAAAAAAAAAAAGTATTGAGCCAGGGATTTAGCTCAGTGGTTCCGCCACCTGCCTCGCAAGCACAAGGTCCTGATTTCGATCCCGAGTAAAAAAAAAAAAAAAGGAAAGAAAACATAGTACCAATAATAACAGACATCTGGGGCTGGGGCCAGGGATTTAGCTCAGTGGTTCTGCCGCCTGTCTCGAAAGCACAAGGACCCGAGTTCGATCCCCGGTACCAAAAAATAAAAGTAAGAGACATCTGTATAATTAACCAATTTTTTACTTGACTATCAGAAGACTCTTATGAAATGAGACAATTATTACCATAATTCTTTAAACCAGTCAGTCACTTTGAGTCACTTGCCCCAAATCACACAACTGGTAACTGGTGGTCCTCAGTTTTGTCTGGGCTCCAAAATTTTTCAACTATATCACTGCATCCCCATCAGACATCTTACCTGATAGTTGCCAGATCTCAAACAAATGTGGACTTGACTGTATGGAGTCAACTGCTGAGAGGTGCTATCAGAAGAAGGTACAAGAACATCACATGCTTGACAATAGCCAGCTAACCGCTTTTCATCTATGGTACAATGAAGAGACAATGAACCTATCTGTAAAGTAAGAGTTACACGGCGTTACTCAGTAATGTAATATAAATAATAGTCCCCTAGTGTGTTTTAGCAGTACAAAACATGATAATGAAAATTTCAAAACTAGAGGAATCATAAAAAATGAAATCATTTGACTTAGGGTCTACAAACTATTGTTCACAGGCCAAATGCAGCTAGTCTGTTTCAGTTTATCCTTCAGTGAAGAACAATTTTTAGGGTAGTAAACAACAACAAAAAGAGCATCCAAAGGAAACTGAATGTGCCACACAAAGCCTAAAATGTTTACTATCTGGATCTTTACAAAAATAATTTGTCAATCCCTGGTTTAAAGTTTATGAGCCAACATAAAGAGGTAAACATCAGTATCACTCTAAGTAGGTAGACAAAGAAGATATGAACAAAGAGCAAACACAGATAAGATGCTCAAGACATTTGAAAATACATATGCCCAGGGCCGGGGATTTGGCTCAGTGGTTTCGCCGCCTGCCGCGCAAGCGCAAGGACCCGAGTTCGATTCCCGGTCGCAAAAAAAAAAAAAAAAAAATACATAAATACATATGCCCAGGCCGGGGATTTAGCTCAGTGGTTCCATCACCTGCCTCCCAAGTGCAAGGACCCAAGTGTGATCCCGGGTACCAAAAAAAAAAAAAAAAATATGCCATGAAGAGATTTAAATGAGATCGTAAACACAGGATCTTCATTCAACTTGAAAGAATAAAAATCTGCTACAAAAACATTTTTAGAAAGACATTTGAAAACATAAGACTTTTAAATTATTATAACCTATAATGCTGTAAAATTCGAAATTTGATGAACTCTTTCAGCAAAGTAAAACTGGGATTCCTAATGGATCAAGAACAGATCTAGGGCTGGAGCACAGGCTGATAGTAGAGCACTTACCTAGTGTGCACAAGGCCTGGGGTTAGATTCCCTGCACCCCCCAAAAATGAATAAATTAAACCTCTAGGGCATTTAATCAATTTCCACTGAAGAGAGATTGAAGCAAAGGTTTTTTCAGGGATCTGGCATACAAAAACTGAGCCATACACTTTAAAATTCAGGTGTCTGAATCATAAAAAAGAAAATACAAAAACAAATTTTTAAAAAGTTGATTCTTGGGGCCGGGAATTTAGCTCAGTGGTGTTGCCGCTTGCCTCGAAAGCTCAAGGACCTGAGTCCCATCTCCAGTACCAAAAAAAACAAGGCTGATTCTTGGGCTGGGGATTTAGCTCAGTGGTTCCACCACCTGCCTTACAAGCGCAAGGTCCAGAGTTCGATCCCCAGTACCAAAAAAAAAAGTTGATTCTTAGCAGGAATTAAGGAAATGTAGATTTATATTTCACCCATCATATTAACAAAACAAAATTCTCTTTTTAAAAGACATATTACTAGCAGGCACGGTGCTGCACACCTGTAATCCCAGCACTCAGGAGGCTGAGGCAGGAGAGCTGCTATGAGTTTGAGCCCAGCCTGGGCTACACAGTGAGTTCAGGGATACCCTGAACTACACAGCAAGACCCTGTCTCAAAAGAAAAAAAACCACATAAATAAACAAAACACATTTCTGCCAAGCATAGTGGCAAAGGCCTTCTAGCACTCAGGAGGCTGAGGCAGGAGAACTGCCTCAAGTTTGAGACCACCCTAGGCCACTAGTCAGTTCAAGACCAGCCTGAACTATAATGCAAGACCCTGTCTCCAACACACACACACACACACACACACACACACACACACACACACACACACAGAGGAAAGAGGAGGGAGGAGGGAGGAGGGAGGAGTGAGAAATGACAAAAAGGTAAAATGAAGGAAGGGGTTATTTCCAAGTATTTCCAGCATACCCTTTTTAAAACAAGTCCTTTGGGGCTGGGGATTTAGCTCAGTGTTTCCGCTGCCTGCTTTGCAAGCACAAGGTCCCAAGTTCGATCCCCGGTACCAAAAAAAAAAAAAAAACAAGTCCTTTGAAGTACATAGTTTTACTGTAATGAACAGTTTGGGGCTGGAATGTTTTGTTTGTTTGGTCTGGATTTTTGGTGCTGAGGATTGAACCCAGGGCCTTGTACCTTCCAAGCATGTGCTCTCTGAGCAACATCCCCAGCACAAGACACTGTTTTTTATCTTAAGAAAAATTAAAGCCAAAAAATTTATAAATGCTTTAAGGGACTAAACATTATGTGGCTATTATAACTATATTTACCTCTGCCATTAGTTCTTTGGTTCTAAAAAATTTTTCTCTGCCATTTTCATAGGCAGCTGAATTTGTGGAGCCTTGTTGAAAATATGCTGCACCCAAATCGTAACACACCTGAAATGATAAAAATGTCAATTTACTTAATACTTTTTCAAATACTTAAGATCTTTTTTTTTTTTTTGGTACTGGGGCTCCAACTTGGGACCTTGCACTTGCAAACCAGGCGGCGGAAACACTGAGCTAAATCCCCAGCCCCATATACTTAAGATCTGACAGAACTCAAAATTATTTTTATTCTTGCATCCAGATTGAAGAAATCCTAAGTGAACTGTTAATACAGTAATACACACATGTACACACACAGGTGCTCTCTCAAAGTACAAATAGTTAACATGTAATTCGCCTTTCCAGGTCAAGACAGTGTTCTGGTTTATATCTGGATGTTCCCCAAACCCTCATGCACTCCTAGGTGGAGCTTTTGGAAGTGACTGCATCATGCGTGTGCAATACTGGATTATGGATGTGTGATACTGATTAGTCCACTGACGTGTTTGGCACAGTTCTTGGTGTGGATACTGAAGAGGGAAGGCCCAACCTGAGTGTGAGTGGCACCAACCAACTGGCTTGCAGCCTTGATGGAATACAAAGGAAGGCTTACTGCTTCCTGCCTGCCTTGCCATGGACTGTTTCTCCTCTGCCATGCCCCTCTGCCTTAGGGGGTTGCTGAGTATAGACTGTAACCTCTAAAAACTGTGAGCTCAAATAAACCTTTCTTCGTTTAACTTGTGAGTGTCCAGTATTTTGTCCCAGCTATGAGAAAGTAACTAAAATGATGTACAAAATATCACAAAGGTATTTTTAAGTTTTACTACACTAACTGTAGTAAAACTACATTAAAACCAGTTTAATTCTACAGTTAAGAGGTAGCCAATAGAGCCTGGTATGGTGGTCACACCTGTCAGCCCAGCTACTCAGGAGGCTGAGGGAGAAGATCCCATATTCAAGGCCAGTCTAGGCAACTTCAATACTGTGTGCCTAATAAAAAAATGTTTTAAGGTTGAGGGACAATGCTCACTGTACAGTGTTTGCTTAGCATGTGTGAGGCCGTGGGTAAATTCCCATGGGGGCAAGGGTGTCACTAGATTGAAAAACAAAACTGTGATAATGAAGCCAGCTGCCTTGAAGGACAGTAGGACTTGGTTTTATTGGAAAAAAATTATTGTTCTTTTCAGTCTTAGGTAAATTTTAATAATGTAAAGCACACACTTTTAAAAAAAGAACATACTTTAAACATTATCGTGCCAGAAAATGAGTAATCTGCCATTCAAGAAATCAGGAATTGTACCTCAGCTATATAATAGCTAGTCTAGCACATCTAGAATTTCACACAAGTTTTGGTTTTTCAGGTTATACTGGCCACCACACTGTGAAAATTAAATGTGTTACCGACAACTTTAAAATATTTTCTGAAAGAGGGCTGGGGATTTAGCTCAGTGGTTCTGTCACCTACCTCACAAACGGGAGGTCACAAGTTTGATCCCGGGTACCAAAGAAAAAAAAAAAATTCTGAAAGATTATGTGATACCACAGTACCAGAAACCCTCCTATATGCAAATTTTATCAATGATTTTAAAAGGTTATCAAATATCAATCCCTCAGTACTCCTCTGATGAACTCTCTCATCAGGTCCTGAAAAACTGATTACCTGCAGCTCTGGAACTAGCTGATCTGAAAAGGCTCCTTCCCAACATCCCCTTTACTATTTCTACCCCTTTCCAGAATGGAAACCAGCAATGAAAGGCATCATACCAATTCATATGAACGAGAAAAAGAATAGGTTGAATGGTACTAATATAATGGCCCTCTTTAGGTAATCAATGAATATTTAAAACCTTCCAGCCAGGCACAGTGGTACACACCTGTAATCCTAGCACTAAGGGTGACCGAGGCAGGAAGATCACAAGTTTTAAGTCCTACTTCAAACTTAACAAGACCCTGTCTAAAAAAATAAAAGGGCTGGGAATGCGTGGCTCAGTGTTAGAGAGCCCCAGGGTTCAATCTCCAATACAGCAAAAGACAAAAAAAAAATCTAATATACTCAAGGTTGTGTGCTACAAAGTAAGCTGCAGAACATATAAAAAGAGACTTCCACACCTGTATGATGATGCACACCTTTAATCCCTGCACTCTGGGAGACTGAGGCAGGAGTACTGCAACTTCAAGCTCAGTCTGGGCAATGTAGCAACTGAGCAAAATCATGTCTTCAAAATATAAAATTTTATCAATCCCCAGTACCAAAAATAAATAGATAGATAGATAGACACATAGATAGAATTAAAAATTTTAAAAAGGGCTGGGGATGTAGCTCAGTGGGAAGGCCCTGGGTTCAATTCCCATTACTGACCCTCCCCCACAAAGAACTTCCAAAGGTTTACAATATATCAAGGAAAAAGACATGACCATATAAAATAGTATCTCACAATAAGCATTAATTAAAAGTTGTCAAAGGAAGTAGGGCCCAAAGTACACAAGGCTTAAGACCCTTGGAAAGCTGGGTATTTTCTGTAAGGGGGGGGGGGCTAGATTTTTCAGTCTAGCACAATATTAGTTTTGGGGGTTTTTTCAGGTGTGCTTTTGGGGTTTTTGTCTAATTAATATATGAACCCAAGTCAGTTATGATCAGTATTTAAACATCCTCCTAAATACAATTGAAAAATTATTTCAGAGACAATGATCACATGGAATTTTCCATCTATTTCTCTTAGAAAAATCTCAACATCTTTAGTCAGAGACCAAGGCAGAAATTCTAATTAAAAATACTAGGATCATCTCATATAAAGTTCTCAAAAACCTCTACCACACACTGATGAAATACAGAAACAAATACCAGGGCCGGGGATTTAGCTCAGCGGTTCCGCCGCCTGCCTCGCAAGCAGAAGGACCTGAGTTCGAT